CAATGCCCAACTCGCAAGTGCAATTTCTATTCCAGTATCCTTTCAGAAATAACTATGAAGGAAAGTATCAGCCCGAAGGTCCATTCACAACTCCATGCCCTCCAGCATTCCCCCCCTCCCCCTTGCAGAGGTCTGACCCCAGAGTGGTTGGTATACACTCGGCTTTTACCACTGAGCTGTATCTCCAGCCCATTAACACCCCCACTTTTGAAGAATCTGGAGGAGGGTCCGTGAAGGTCCAGCCTGGGCTATGAGAGAACACATCTCAAAAAACCCAACAACAAATGAACAGGAACCAGGGCTTAAGATGTCCATTGGTAAAACATTTGCTTATCATCTGTGGTCTCTAGGTTTGATTCCCTGTACACATACTCAATGGTAGAACTGGACTCAAACCCCAGCACCACACACACAGCAAAAAAAGAAAAGAAACACCAACCCGATAAAAAGTTATAAGGTAGGCATGGCATGGCAATCCACCTCTATAACCCAGCATTTGGGGGCGTTGAAGCCATATTAGACTCCTCAAATTCAAGCCCAGACTGGACTACCTATTAAGTTCCAAGTTAGCACCTGCCTGAAAACCTTTGGTTTAAGCAAGTTAAAAAAAAAAAGAAAAGAAAAAGTAATCTTTCTATAATCTCACCAGGGTAGTGAGGCCCGACTAGCTCAGCCTGCATTCAGAACATCAGAAGTAGCTGGGCATTGGTGGCGCACGCCTTTAATCCCAGCACTCGGGAGGCAGAGGCAGGCGGATCCCTGTGAGTTCGAGGCCAGCCTGGTCTACAGAGCAAGTTCCAGGACAGCCTCCAAAAGGATACAGAGAAACCCTGACTCGAACCTCCCCCCAAAAAAAGCCAGAACATCAGAAGTAGAGGATGAGAGCCAGAGAGGCTTTAGCAGGGAAAGGCGCCGGCTTCACACCTGCAGATTTAAGCCCTGTGCCCAGGACCAACCCGGAAAAGGAAGAGCAAACTTGTTTCCACAGAGGTCCCCTGTGAGTGTGTGCCTTGACCCGTTCCTGCCCCGCAGGGCACCTCTGACCCCGGCAGTAAAAATGAGAACTAGGGACTGTGTGTCCTCACTCGCTGTGTCAGTTCTCATGGTTTAAAGCTCACCGTCCACCACCTTTTAATACTTTATGTCACCTCCCCTTTTGCTATAACACTGTGTAACTGGGTGGCCTCCCCATCGCCTCTTCTGGAGTCTTACACGGTCTGCACCCTCACCACCCTGCCAGGTGACTGACTTCTCCCGGATCCCCAGCTGCAAGCCTCAAACACCAGGGCTCTTCTGGACAACCCTCTCCACGAGAAGTTATCACAGGACCTCCTTCCCCGAGCTATGCCCCAGCCCCAGCTGACCCCATTCACAGACACGCAAGAGGATCACAATGCAGTGTCCCCTCTGCCCTCCAGGCCCTGGGAGATCACATGTCACTCTTTTCTGTAGACTCAGCTGAGAGAGGACCGCAGGAGCAGTTCATCAGGCACACAGACACGGCAAGCTATTTCGTTTATTTTGAAATAACCAGTAAAAGTTGACCTGTGTTCAGTATGAGCATATAAAAAACAACGGGAACAAAGGATGGCAGTGTAAATTCACCTCCAAGTTTACCAACTGGAAAAACCAGCTCAACAGTTCTCAACAGCAAAACCTCGACACCAAAGTAGAAACACCTGGAGAAGCAGACGGAGCCTCCCGCTTTCATAGGACAAACTTAGCCCGTGGAAGGGACCCACATAGGGTGCCTCAGCAGTGTGGCCAAGGACAGAGTCCAAGACAAAAGACCCTAAAAATCTACTGGTGTTTAACATATTTCTCTCTCTCTCTCTTTTTATTTTGAGAGAAAGTCCCTCAATATAGCCCTAGCTGTCTTGGAATTCACTATATAGACCAGGCTGGTCTTAAACCCAAAGAGAATAAGGTGCTAGCCCTCGATAGCAACATATTTCTTTTTAAAATAACAAAGAGAGAAGACTTCTTTGGTTCTCTGTTATTACAATCCAGAATCAGAAAAACCAATTATTCAGTTAGGAAGACATCTCCCGAGTTTGTAGTCTGGCAAACATCATACAGTGTGGCAGTGTTTCAGAGCACTAGCTTACAGGAAATGTAAAGAACACGAGTTATTCCACAAAGTAAACAAAATGTTTCCCTAAGGCTAGGACTTAAGAGCAGAATGAAGCCAGGGGTGAAGGGCTAATCCTGACACTAACCAGTGCAAAGGCGGTCCTCAGAGGACACCGGGAGAGCAAGCAGGGGCCCCTCTCTCCCTAGTCCACCTCCTCGATGGTGGGCCCCGACCCTGAGCCTCCCTTGGGCGCCTGGGCCCCGAAGCCCCCAGCCCCGGCAGCGCCCGCGCCCTGGTACAGCCCGCTGATGATGGGGCCACACAGCCTCTCCAGCTCCTCCCGCTTGTGCACGAACTCGTCCTTCTCGGCCAGCGTGTTGGCGTCCAGCCAGGAGATGACCTCCTGACACTTGTCCAGCACCTTCTTCCGGTCGGCCTCGCCGATCTTGCCCTGGAGGCCCGCGTCCTCCACGGTGCTCTTCACGTTGAAGGCGTAGGACTCGAGCGCGTTCTTGGCCGCCACCCTGTCACGCTGCACCTCGTCCTCGGCCTTGTACCTCTCGGCCTCCTGCACCATGCGCTCGATCTCCTCCTTGCTCAGCCGGCCCTTGTCGTTGGTGATGGTGATCTTGTTGGCCTTGCCCGTGCTCTTGTCCATGGCCGTGACGTTGAGGATGCCGTTGGCGTCGATGTCGAAGGTCACCTCGATCTGGGGCACGCCCCTGGGCGCCGGCGGGATGCCGCTGAGCTCGAAGCGGCCCAGCAGGTTGTTGTCGCGCGTCATGGCCCGCTCGCCCTCGTACACCTGGATCAGCACGCCCGGCTGGTTGTCCGCGTAGGTGGTGAAGGTCTGCGTCTGCTTGGTGGGGATGGTGGAGTTGCGCTTGATGAGCGCCGTCATCACGCCGCCCGCCGTCTCCAGGCCCAGCGACAGCGGCGCCACGTCCAGCAGCAGCAGGTCCTGCACGTTCTCAGACTTGTCCCCCATCAGGATGGCCGCCTGCACGGCCGCCCCGTAGGCCACCGCCTCGTCCGGGTTGATGCTCTTGTTCAGGTCGCGCCCGTTGAAGAAGTCCTGCAGCAGCTTCTGCACCTTGGGGATGCGCGTCGAGCCGCCCACCAGCACCAGGTCGTGGATCTGCGCCTTGTCCAGCTTGGCGTCGCGCAGCGCCTTCTCCACGGGCTCCAGCGTGCCGCGGAACAGGTCGGCGCACAGCTCCTCGAAGCGCGCGCGCGTGATGGACGTGTAGAAGTCGATGCCCTCGAACAGCGAGTCGATCTCCAGGCTGGCCTGCGTGCTGGACGACAGGGTCCTCTTGGCGCGCTCGCAGGCCGTGCGCAGCCGCCGCACGGCGCGCTTGTTCTGGCTGATGTCCTTCTTGTGCTTCCTCTTGAACTCCTCCACGAAGTGGCTCACCAGCCGGTTGTCGAAGTCCTCGCCGCCCAGGTGCGTGTCCCCCGCCGTGGCCTTCACCTCGAAGATGCCGTCGTCGATCGTCAGGATGGACACGTCGAACGTGCCGCCGCCCAAGTCGAAGATGAGCACGTTGCGCTCGCCCTTACCCGAGCGGTCCAGCCCGTAGGCGATGGCGGCCGCCGTGGGCTCGTTGATGATGCGCAGCACGTTCAGACCCGCGATCACGCCCGCGTCCTTGGTGGCCTGCCGCTGCGAGTCGTTGAAGTAGGCGGGCACCGTGATCACCGCGTTGGTCACCGGGTGGCCCAGGTACGCCTCGGCGACCTCCTTCATCTTCGTCAGCACCATGGACGAGATCTCCTCGGGGTAGAAGGCCCGCGGCTCGCCCTTGTAGCTCACCTGCACCTTGGGCTTGTCGCCGTCGCTCACCACCCGGAAGGGCCAGTGCTTCATGTCCGACTGCACCACCGCGTCGCCGAACTTGCGGCCGATCAGCCGCTTCGCGTCGAACACGGTGTTCTGCGGGTTCAGCGCCACCTGGTTCTTGGCGGCGTCGCCGATGAGCCGCTCGGTGTCGGTGAAGGCCACGTAGCTGGGGGTCGTGCGGTTGCCCTGGTCGTTGGCGATGATCTCCACCTTGCCGTGCTGGAACACGCCCACGCACGAGTAGGTGGTGCCCAGGTCGATGCCGATCGCCGTGCTCTTGGCCATGGCGCCGTGGCCGCTGCTGCTCGCTCTGGGCGGTCGGGGTCGGACGCTCGGCTGCTGCGGGTCGGCTGCGCTCTGCGGCGGGGAGGCTCCGGGGAACGAGGCTGGTTCTGGCCGAGAGTCGGGAAGGCGCGGCTCGGCCGCTCTTCGCTCTGGGCTCCGGGGGGGAACGCGAGATGCCCGTGGGAACCGCAGGCTGCGTCTGGTGCCCTGCTCGCCGCCCCGCGCCTTTATGGGTCGCCCTCGGGCCCCGCCCGCTCTCGCCTGGGCCAATCAGCGAGCCGGAGGCGGCCGTGGGGACCCGAATCTTCCAGCAGTTTCGCTTCTGGAGGAGCCTCCCCGCCTCCTTTGAGTAATAGGTTCGGAGGGTGCCGGCCCTGCCTAGAACTCTCCAGACCCTTCTGGGATTCGCTGGAGAGGACGGATCCCTGCGGTGGGGGAAGAGGGAGAAGGGGGGGGGGACGGACGTGCTGTTGCCTCCGTTGCCATGGCGACGCTGGCCCGCGGCCTCTGTGGAATTGCCTGGAAAGGTCACCTCTAGCTCGGTGTTGTGGACAGCTGGCTGTGATCTGAGGTTTTGGACAGTTGGTTAAGATCAGACTGGAGCGCTTCTGACTTTGCGGGTCGCGCTGCGGGCTGTAACCCCCACCTCTGCTTAGGTGACCCAGGGAGAGAGAGGCCTTGGGGCGTGTCTGGTGACGTGGTCCCCTCCAGTCGCGTTACAATGGCTGTGCTGACTCTGACCTCATGGACTAATTTAGGAATCAGAGACTCGGTCCCACAACGGGCTCAAAGTTGCCGGGAGGGGCGGGGTGGGGGGGGTGGGGGGACCCCGGTTGCTCAGTTTGGATGTTCCTGGAGCTCCCCACTCGTAGGGGCTCGTCGACCTCAAGTTTTCCAAACTGGATCGAAGACGAAGAGATTCCAGGTGAGCCGAGAAGGCTTTGATTGGAATGGGGCATTAGGTTGCGCGTCCTTGTTGGTCCTGGTTTGGATAGGGGCTAAGACATTTCTTAGGTTTGATTAATTTACAGACTAAGTCTAGTGGAACTCGGCGTCCTCGCCTCGGCGCCTTGAGTGCTGGGATTACTAGTGTGGCCCTCCCCACACAGACTCTAGTTGTTTTCGATCTGGGTGTGGGGGTTGTCAACCAAGAAAAGAGTTCCTCTTGAGGGACAGGGGTGGCTGGAAGGAGCCTTGGCTTGGAATCGGGAGGGGACACTTTAAGACCGTTTTGAATATGTTACTGGCACCAAAAAAACCGGCGGTATAATCAAGAGAAGGTTAGAAACTGGGTGTAGAGGTTCAAGCCTGCGCCCCAAGTGCTGAGGATGTTGAGAGGGCTTGGCCAAGGGGGTGGGGTTTTGTTTGAAAAAAACATGTAGAAGCCTGGCGTTGGTGGCGCACGCCTTTAATCCCAGCACTTGGGAGGCAGAGGCAGGCGGATCTCTGTGAGTTCGAGGCCAGCCTGGTCTACAGAGCTAGTTCCAGGACAGCCTCCAAAGCCACAGAGAAACCCTGTCTCGAAAAACAAAACAAAAACAAAAACAAAAAAACAAAAACAAAAAAAACATGTAGAAAATGTCTCTGTTGTGCCCTGTTTCTCAGAAAGATTGATGGAGGCCACGTGGTGGCCCAAGCCTCTTATCCCATCACTTAGGCATGGAGGCAGGGGCATTGCCTGAGCTACCTCGTGAGACCCCTGTGGGGGCTAAATTACCCCACATAGGTTGCTCAGGAAGGCACTTCTGAATGGAGGCTGGTGCCTGTCTTTTTTAAGAAACTGCTTGTTGGTGTGTTTGTGAGTGTGTGCTGTGTGTGCAAGTGCCTCCAGAGGCTAGAAGAGGCTCCCATCCCCTGGAATTGGAGTCGCAGGCAATGGTGAGCTGCCCAACGTGGGTGCTGAGAACTGAGCTCAGCTTCTTCAGCAGGAAGCATTCCTTTTGTTTAGTTTTGTTTTCGAGACAGGGTTTCTCTGTAGCTTTGGAAGCTGTCCTGGAACTTGCTCTGTAGACCAGGCTGGCCTCAAACTCACAGAGATCCGCCTGCCTCTGCCTCAGGAAGTGCTGGGATTAAAGGCGTGCACCACCACTGGCCCCATGCAGGAAGCATTCTTCACTGTTACAAGTCCTTTGTCCCCTACCATCCTTTTAAGGAGTTTCAGAACACAATCTTAGGAGACAGGTCGATAGGTACGGTCCCACAGTAAAACACACCACTGCCATAGGCACGCTGGCGTTGATTTAGGCCCCGTGAGAAATGGGGAGAGTATCTACCTTCCTTCCACCTTGGAGTGGCTGAGGACACCAGTGTCTGTCATCGTTGCATAAATGCTTTGCCGTGCAAGCCAGGCCTGGGGGTGAATGTGAGCCTGTGGTAGCAGCAGCATTATTCACGGCCTCGGGGAAGTGGAAGGAAGCCGGTGTCCTCGGGAGATGACTGTGGAAGGAAAGGGTGGGGGACAAACACAATGGTTGGGGTTCAGTCTTAGAAGTGCCGGGGTATGCAAGCTCATGGATGAGAATTAATGCCGAGTGAAACGAGGCCTGCCATAAACGGACAAAAGCTGACTAATTCCAATAAGCACAGGGTGAGTGGACGAATCCAGAAGACATCCCACTCTCGGCGAGAAAACTCAGCATAATCCCCACTCTTTGGAGGCCAAGGGAGAGAGACTGCAGGCACCACCCGGATTAGGAAACATCAGGGGGCCCATTTTGGAATGAATTCCTGTGACGATGAGTATTTCAAAATGAATATAGGCAAAGGTTCATTATTGATTGAAGATTTTAATCAAGCCCGCTGGGGGACAAGGTTCAGACTAAACGGAGCCAGTTTGCCCGTGGGAAGCGGACCATGTGGTGCCGCCTCCCATATTGTGTTGATGCGGGTCCTGCCCTATGACATCTGGTAGACTCGAAACCCTGCAGAAGCCAGCGGTGATCCTGAAACAGACTAATGGGAGCCTTGGGGGCTGCCCGAGGGTCTTGGGACCTGTGCTCTGAGACAAAACTAGAGTGAAAACGTAACCACTCCGGGGTGTAGCTCCACCGTAAAGCCCTTGCTTAGAATCCCCAAGGCCCTGGGTTCCACACCCCTCATACGCAAAGAGACAAAAACCCAGAACCAATCCCAAAGATAACTTCAAAGAATAAAGACAGTGAAAGGTAAGTGGAGTAGGCATTTAGACAATGCTTATTTCATGTTATTCAGCGTGACAAACACAAATGTATAAACTCTTTGCACCAGACACCTTTAAAGTTGAGGCCTAGCGCCTTTCTCTTGGTTTCTCCTTCCTTCCTTCCTTCCTTCTGTCCTTCCTTTCTCTCTCTCTCTCTCTCTCTCATTTTTTTTCTTTCTTTCATTTTTTTTTTTTGTTTTTGTTTTTGAGACAGGGTTTCTCTGTATTGTTTTGGAGGCTGTCCTGGAACTCCCTCTTTAGACCAGGCTGGTCTCGAACTCACAGAGATCCGCCTGCCTCTGCCTCCCGAGTGCTGGGATTAAAGGTGTGCTCCACCACCACCTGGCTCATTTTCTATTTCTTATGAGAGGGGAAAACACAGAATTGTAGGATGTCTGAGACAGCCCAGACCATAGGTGTAAAGAAAAGCAGCCTGCTGTAACCCCAGCATTTGGAAAGCCGAGGGAGCTAGCCTGGGATACACGGGGAGTTCCGGGCCAACCTGGGCTACAGAGTGAGACACACTGCCTTACGAGAACTAAGTAGTGACCCAATACAACCTCCGAGAGGCTAGAGGGGAGGCTCAGTGGGTAAAGTGCTTGGCACGTAAGCGTGAGACCTGAGTTCAATCCCCAGGACCCACAGGACGGAACAACATTCCCAGCACAGTGCCGTGCACCTGGGATCGCAGAGCAAGGGAGATGGCTCACGGGGCTTGCCCGACAGCCAGCATGGCCAGTGAGCGAGCTCCTGTTTCAACAAGGTGCCTGCTGCCCGACAGCATAGCCAGTGAGTGAGGTCCTGTTTCAACAAGGTGCCTGGCAGATGAACGACAGCAGGGTTGACACCTTACATCCACGTGTTCCTTGTGTACACAATCCACACCAAAACAACAGCTAGCCCCAAAAACAACACTCACAGCCTCTCTGGGTAAGACTTCTTTCTGTGAAAAAGCCTGGGGATTTGCTTATCTTCATGCTTGTGGTTTCAACCAGACTGATTGATTGATGGAGCTGGAGGTCCGGTTCAGCAGCTAATAGCACTTAATGCCTTTTTACTTATTATGCATACAATGTTCTTTTTTTTTTTTTTAATCTTACTATGGGGCTGGAGAGACAGATGACTCAGAGGTTAAGAGCACTGGCTGCTCTTCCAGAGGTCCTGAGTTCAATTCCCAGCAACCACATGGTGGCTCACAACCATCTGTAATAAGATCTGGTGCCCTCTTATGGCCTGCAGGCAGACATGCAGACAGAACACTGTATACATAATGAATTAAAAAAAAACTTATTATTTATACAGTGCTCTGCCTGTGTGTGCCCCTGCAGGCCAGAAGAGGGCACCAGACCCCATTATAAATGGTTGTGAGCCACCATGTGGTTGCTGGGAATTGAATCTGGGTCCTCCTGAAGTGCTCTTAACTGCTGAGCCATCTCTCCAGCCCCACAAAATAATATATGAAAAAATTAAAAAAAAATGACCAAGGGCTACAAGAGGGCTCAGCCATTAAGAGCATACCTGTCCTTGTAGAAGACCTGAATTCGCCGGGCGTTGATGGCGCACACCTTTAATCCCAGCACTCAGGAGGCAGAGGCAGGCGGATCTCTGTGAGTTCGAGGCCAGCCTGGTCTACAGAGCGAGTTCCAGGACAGCCTCCAAAACAATACAGAGAAACCCTGTCTCAAAAAACCAAAAAAAAAAAAAAAAAAAAAAAAAAAAAAAAAAGAAGAAGAAGACCTGAATTCAGTGCCTAGGACCCATCCTTGGAGTCTAGCTCTGACTCCAAGGCCATCCCATTCTCCCGACCTCCACAGGTATCTGCATTCACGTGCCTATGCCCGCACAGACATGCACATAATTAAAAATAATAAATCTTGAGTTACTAACTGATCGACAAATAGCTTAAGTTTTATTTAAAAACAAATCACTTCCCCCAAGTGTGATTATAAAGTCTCATTTCTCCATAGGCCTCGGAAGACCATGGCTGCTAATAAAGGAATGGCCATAGGCATCGACCTGGGCACCACCTACTCGTGCGTGGGCGTGTTCCAGCACGGCAAGGTGGAGATCATCGCCAACGACCAGGGCAACCGCACGACCCCCAGCTACGTGGCCTTCACCGACACCGAGCGGCTCATCGGCGACGCCGCCAAGAACCAGGTGGCCATGAACCCCCAGAACACTGTTTTTGATGCCAAGCGTCTAATCGGCAGGAAGTTTAATGATCCTGTTGTACAGTCGGACATGAAGCTCTGGCCATTTCAAGTGGTCAACGAAGGAGGTAAGCCCAAGGTGCTGGTGTCCTATAAAGGGGAGAAGAAAGCCTTCTACCCCGAGGAGATCTCGTCCATGGTGCTGACGAAGATGAAGGAGACTGCGGAGGCTTTTCTGGGCCACAATGTCACCAACGCAGTGATCACGGTGCCCGCCTATTTCAATGACTCTCAACGCCAGGCCACCAAAGATGCAGGTGTCATCGCCGGACTCAATGTGCTCAGAATCATCAACGAGCCCACGGCGGCCGCCATCGCCTACGGCTTGGATAAAGGAGGTCATGGAGAGCGGCACGTGCTCATCTTCGACCTGGGCGGCGGCACGTTCGACGTGTCCATCCTGACGATCGACGACGGCATCTTCGAGGTGAAGGCCACGGCGGGGGACACGCACCTGGGCGGCGAGGACTTCGACAACCGGTTGGTGAGCCACTTCGTGGAGGAGTTCAAGAGGAAGCACAAGAAGGACATCAGCCAGAACAAGCGCGCCGTGCGGCGGCTGCGCACGGCCTGCGAGCGCGCCAAGAGGACCCTGTCGTCCAGCACGCAGGCCAACCTGGAGATCGACTCGCTGTTCGAGGGCATCGACTTCTACACGTCCATCACGCGCGCGCGCTTCGAGGAGCTGTGCGCCGACCTGTTCCGCGGCACGCTGGAGCCCGTGGAGAAGTCTCTTCGGGACGCCAAGATGGACAAGGCTAAAATCCACGACATCGTTCTGGTGGGCGGCTCGACGCGCATCCCCAAGGTGCAGAAGCTGCTGCAGGACTACTTTAACGGACGTGATCTCAACAAGAGCATCAACCCGGACGAGGCGGTGGCCTATGGGGCTGCAGTCCAGGCAGCTATTTTAATGGGAGACAAGTCTGAAAAAGTACAAGATTTGCTTTTGTTGGACGTAGCTCCCCTGTCTCTAGGATTGGAGACCGCTGGGGGCGTGATGACTGTCCTGATTAAACGCAACTCCACCATCCCCACCAAGCAGACGCAGATCTTCACCACCTACTCGGACAACCAGCCGGGCGTGCTGATCCAGGTGTACGAGGGCGAGCGGGCCATGACGCGCGACAACAACCTGCTGGGCCGCTTTGACCTGACTGGCATACCCCCCGCACCCAGGGGCGTGCCCCAGATCGAGGTGACCTTCGACATCGACGCCAACGGCATCCTCAATGTCACGGCCATGGACAAGAGCACGGGCAAGGCCAACAAGATCACCATCACCAACGACAAGGGCCGGCTGAGCAAGGAGGAGATCGAGCGCATGGTGCAGGAGGCCGAGAGGTACAAGGCCGAGGACGAGGGCCAGAGGGAGAAAATCGCTGCCAAAAATGCCTTGGAATCCTACGCTTTTAACATGAAGAGCGCCGTGAGTGACGAAGGTCTGAAGGACAAGATCAGCGAGTCCGACAAAAAGAAAATACTGGACAAGTGCAACGAGGTCCTTTCCTGGCTGGAGGCCAACCAACTGGCCGAGAAGGAGGAGTTCGATCATAAGAGAAAAGAGCTGGAGAACATGTGTAACCCGGTCATCACCAAACTCTACCAGGGGGGATGCGCCGGGCCCACCTGCGCGCCGGGGTTCACGCCCAACAGGGCTGCCACAGGCCCTACCATCGAGGAAGTCGATTAGCATTTCCCAGACCTGCAGGGTGCTGGGGTGCCTCTAGGGGAATTTTTATTCATCTTGGAACGTCACTATGACTCTTGAGCTGACTAGACTTGAGCCTAAGTCACCGTCCTTTGGGATTCTGATGGAGAAGTCTGTATTTCATCTCTTCGCGCCCCCCACCCTTGTGTCTGCGATCCTGAAATGTACCTTTGGAAAAGCAAGGCCCCTCTGGACCATTTGAAGAATTGGATGTCTGCTATTTATTAGCCTCATCTTTCTCCTTCCTGTGTGGATGGTTATTCGTCTCTCAGTAAATTTGTTCCCAAAGGAAGTAGCTTCTGGTATCTTTCTGTTTCCTTAGTCATGGCCCTACTGTGAGTGTCTAGCTTACTTGACTCTCACCATGCAGGCCAACTTGGCCCCTTACTTGCAGCAATCCTCCTGTCTCTGCCACCTGAGTTCTGAGATTACAGGCATGCACCGCCATGCCCAGCTTTAGTTGTTTTTTGGAGTCAGGGTTCCTTGTAGCCCAGGTTAGCCTCAGACACTATATCCAAAAATGACCTGTGTCTCCCTCAAATGGTTTAGTTCCTGATGTCTTTAAACTGTCAATGTTCCTAGAAAAGTCAGACGGGAGCTCACACAGGACATACATTCTGTTTGTGAGTTTGTTGTGGCTGATGAATCAGCTAAGGGTGAGGGACTCAGGTTTGTGTAAGTTCAGCGCTTCCAACAATTATTTTGCCCTTTTTGGTTTTGTTTTGAGATGGTCTTATGTAGTCTAGGTCTGCTTGAACTGTCCACCTGAATGATGACTGGAATGATAGAACATTACACCTGCCAAGAAAAAAGTTTCCTAATTTTCTGGCACCCTAGGTCTATATAAATTAGTTGCTAACTGTGGTTACTTCTTTTTTTGAGGGGGTGTGGTTTTGAGACAGGGTTTCTCTTTGGCTTTGGGGTCTGTCATGGAACTTGCTGTGTAGACCAGTCTGGCCTCGAACTCACAGAGGTCCTCCTGCCTCTCCCTCCCGAGTGCTGGGATTAAAGGTGGGCACTACCACTGTCCAGCCAGTGGTTACTGCTTCTAATCAATCACAGGCTGACTTAGGTTCAAATGCAGATTCTGTTGAACTTGGTAACAAATCTGCCTTGATATCCTGATGGATCCAGATCTGAACACCTGAAATCCCAGCTCGGGGAAGCAGAGAAGGATCATTGTAGGCAGGTCAGTCTGGCTGAATGAATCAGCCTGCTCCAGGATGGATGACAAAGCCCATCTCAGGGAAGTGAGATGGGGCTGGAGAGATGGCTCAGTGACTGAGAACATGCACTGCTCTTCCAGAGGACAGGGTTTAATTCCTAACACCTCTATGGTGGCTAAAATCTGCCTCCAACCGCAGAATATCCAGCGTTCTCCTCCAGTCTCTGGAGCACAGCACAAATGGTACACATGCATGCAACCAAACACTCTTACACATAAAATTTAAAAATTAAACAAGGTGGAAAATGACTGAAGGAAACCTAGTGTCCATCTCTGGCCTGCACACTCCAGCCCCCCCCACACACAGAGGAGACCCTGGCATGCACGCTCCAGACCCCACACACACAGAGGAGACCCTGGCATGCACGCTCCAGACCCCACACACACACACAATGGAGACCCTGGTATGCACGCTCCAGACCCCCCCACACACACAGAAGAGACCCTGGCATGCACGCTCCACCCCCCCACACATAGAGGAGACCCTGGCATGCACGCTCCAGACCCCACACACACACACAAAGAAGACCCTGGCATGCACGCTCCAGACCCCCCCACACAGAGGAGACCCTGGCATGCACGCTCTAGCCCCCTCCCCCACACACACAGAGGAGACCCTGGCATGCATGCTCTAGCCCCCTCCCCCACACACACAGAGGAGACCCTGGCATGCACGCTCCAGACCCCACACACACAGAGGAGACCCTGGCATGCACGCTCCAGACCCCCCACACACACAGAGGAGACCCTGGCATGCACGCTCCAGACCCCTCCCCCACACAGAGGAGACCCGGGCATGCACGCTCCAGCCCCCACACACACAGAGGAGACCCTGGCATGCACGCTCCAGACCCCCCACACACACAGAGGAGACCCTGGCATGCACGCTCCAGACCCCTCCCCCACACAGAGGAGACCCTGGCATGCATGCTCCAGACCCCTCCCCCCCCACAGAGGAGACCCTGGCATGCATGCTCCAGCCCCCTCCCCTCCACACACAGGAGACCCTGGCATGCATGCTCCAGCCCCCTCCCCTCCACACACAGAGGAGACCCTGGCATGCATGCTCCAGCCCCCTCCCCTCCACACACAGAGGAGACCCTGGCATGCATGCTCCAGACCCCTCCCCCCACAGAGGAGACCCTGGCATGCATGCTCCAGCCCCCTCCCCCCCCACAGAGGAGACCCTGGCATGCATGCTCCAGCCCCCTCCCCTCCACACACAGGAGACCCTGGCATGCATGCTCCAGCCCCCTGCCCCAGCATACACACACAAAGGAAACCTTGGCTATCCTCTATTTTGGCATCCTGTAGAGAATTCTACCCTGTAATCAGCAGGCCAGATGCTCAGAATTTTTGTACCTACAGGCAGCCTCAAGAAGACAACGCAAAACATCAAAATAGCAAGCCTCTCCCTCGGTATTCAGACAGGGTTCCCACCCAAGTGTCCGCCAGATACAACATTTAATTAAATGGCAACTTCCGACTTAATTACCATTAAAAACAACAACAATGCCTTTCCTTCCCCCAGGCAGCTGCATCCCTTGTCTGGGAACTTCCCTGAAGAGGCTTTTTGTTTCCCCTCACCTGGCACACCTGACAGCAGCTTCTCCTCCTCGCCTCCTTTTCCGGATATCAACCAAATACGATGTATCAAGTTGCAGCAAAACTAAGCACCTCCCCTCCCCCTCGTATTAAGGCTGAAAAAGGTGACCCAGAAGGTGTAAATGGTTCCAAAAGCAGGCAAAAGAGTCAGAGACAGCCCCCGTCCCCACTGTTAAGTCCCATAAGAGGACTAAGCTACACAACCATAACCTATATATGCAGAGAGCCTAGGTCAGTCCCATGCAGGCTCCCCGGTTGTGAGCTCAGTGTCTGTGAGCCCCTAAGAGTTCAGATTAGTTGATTCTGTGGGTTTTCTAGTGGCGTCCTTGTCCCCTCTGTCCGAAGATCCTTCCTCCTTCTGAAGGATTCCTGGAGCTCCGCCTAATGTGTGGCTGTGGGTCTCAGCCTCTGTTTTCTGCTCTGGGTTTTCTGGTGTCTCCATTTTTATCAGTCAGCTCTTGGTGAACTCATTTACAACGGGAATGTTCCAAGCCTGTTAATGCTGTTCACAGAACAGCCAAAGCAGTATTTGGAGGTGAGCTATTAGAAAATGTTTCAGGGCCGGGGAGATGGCTAAGCAATTAAGAGCATTTGTTGCTCTTCTAGAGGACCCAGATTCTAGACCCAGCATCCATAAGGTGGCTCCTAACAGTCCATACCTCCACTCCCAGGGACCTGAAGCCAGCTAACTTCTCACCAACAGTCACGTAGTGCAGAACTAACCTGCAGGCAGATACAGCCATACACATAAAAGAAGAAAATGTGATTTCTAACTGTGAGCTACAGTCTGTTTAGTTCTTTACAAACAAGGCCTGCGTAAAAGCTAAAACATATGGACGCGAGAGCTGGGGCTGTTCCTTGGTGGGTGTGCTTAGCGTGTGTAAGCTCTGGGTTCCAGTCCCAGGAAACCCCACCCCCAAAATCCCACATAAGCCTGAAATTGAGGGAAACTTGCTTACTGGGAACTTTTGATAAGAATCAGGATTCGGCCAGGTGGTGGTGGCAGAGCACGCCTTTAATCCCAGCACTCGGGAGGCAGAGGCAGGAGGATCTCTGTGAGTTTGAGGCCAGCCTGGTCTACAGAGCCAGTTCCAGGACACACTCCAAAGCCACAGAGAAACTCTGTGTCAAGAAAGAGAAAGGAAGGAAGGAGGGATGGAGGGAGGGACAGGATTTGGGGGCTGGAGAGATGGCTCAGAGGTTAAGAGCACTGGCTGCTCTTCCGAAGGTCCTGCGATCAAGTCCCACAACCAGAGAGTGAGCACACCATTTATAATGAGATCTGGTGCCCTCTTCTGGTGTTCAGGCAGAACATAATAAATCTTAAAAAAAAAAAAAAGTAGGATTTGTCTTCAGGCTCCCCTTATAACCCTCCCCAACACCACACACAGCACAGCCAGCGTGTGTTGATGAGGTTCTGCTCCCTTTGACACAGGGCAGCTTCAGCAGGCGTCTAAACCAGAATCCCCCTGTCTCAGCTCTCTCCAGGATTCCGGGAGGGCACCAACCCTGCCCAGCACTGAGCATCATTTTAAAGCTTCCCGGCAATCCTCCACAGGAAAGCGGGGTATGAGCAAACCACGGGGGGGGCGGGGGGGAGAGAGAAAGAGAGAGAGAGGAAAGAGAGAGAGAGAGAGAGAGAGAGAGAGAGAGAGAGAGAGAGAGAGAGAGAGAGAGAGAGAGAGAGAGAGAGAAAGGAGGAGAGAGAGAGAGAGAAAGGAGAGGAGAGAGGAGGAGGAGAGAGAGGGGAGGGCGGACGAGGGGGGGCGAGCCGCCCTGAACGCGCAGCCGTCACGGGCCCACGCATGCGCAGTGGGAGGCGGCCGCTCGGGAGGAAGTGGGAGACAGGAAGACCCGCCCCCTCTCGGTTTGGCGGTCCCGTCCGCTCTTCCCTCCTTCGCTCGCTCCCCTGGAGCCCGGGCTCAGCCGCGCGCTCTCGGCCCTGGGCGTTTCCCCGCGGCTCCCCCCCGTGGCGCCTGCGTGATCCCGCGGTGCCCCACGCGCGGGCTCGCGCTCGGGCTCCCGCCCGGCCTCTGGCCCGCAGCCCCCGGCCCTTTCCGCCGCGGCCCAGGCCGCCGCGCGTGGCGCCAGCACCATGGTGGGTACCGTGACGTCAAAAGGGAGCGCCGCCGCCGCGCGCCGCGGGCCGTTCGAACGGGGCCGGGGCCGCTCGTCCGGTCGCCCCGGGCTGCAGTTTGAGCAGACTCGTAGGAGCCAATGGTTGCTTTGGGCGAGAGGAAGCCCACGGGCGCCGCGGGAGGACGGAAAGCTAGCCTCGCATCTCCCCGCCGGGGGAGCGGCGTCTTTGGAGGGTGCGGGTGGCGTGCGGTCCTCATTTCCCCGCAGAGAGCGCGCAGATTTCCTACGGGAGGTGGTGGATTCCAGAGATCGGGTCCAGGGCGCCCACTGTGACCCAGTGAACGGCCCAGTATCTGCGAAGAGATTGTCGTCGGTCGTGGACTTTTCTTGGGAACTGCCAGAGTCGGGGGCGGGGCACAGAGACTAGTATTTCAGAGTACGGGGCACGGGGTTCCTCCTCCCTGTACTTTTCATGAGGTAGTTTCCCCCTCCTTTTCCCAACAGCTCTTCTACTCCTTCTTCAAATCCCTCGTGGGCAAGGATGTGGTCGTGGAGCTCAAGAATGACCTGAGGTAGGTATTTACCTGAAGTTGGGAGGTGGAGGGGGGTGGGGGTGCCCAGGGTCCTGAACCTCCCCCCTCCCCAAAGTTGTTTTGAGAGAGCAGGTGGGCCGAACACAGAAGAAAAAAATAGCTTGTGCCATAAGGGTAGAGGTTAGGTTTAAGATTGCTGGGCATAGTGGTCTACTCCTTTAATCCCAGCACCTGGGAGGCAGAGGCACCCTGATTTCTGTGAGTTCGAGACCAGCCCGATCTACAGAGTGAGTGCCAGGACAGCCAGAGAAACAACCCTGTCTTGGAAAAAGAAAAAAAAGAAAAGAATTCGTTACACGAGTAACATGGACTCGACTATGTTCTTTAAAAATATGCTAAATAAATGATAAAATGCTAATAAATAAATAATGCTTATTGTACTCTTGGAAAAAATATACCAAGGTGTTTGTAGCTTTGAGTGTAAAAAACATTTGCCAGGCAGTGGTGGTGCACGCCTTTAATCTCAGCACTCTGGAGTCAGAGACAAGCGGATCTGTGATTTTTTTTTTTTTTTTTTTTTTTTTTTTTGGTTTTTCGAGACAGGGTTTCTCTGTGGCTTTGGAGGCTGTCCTGGAACTCGCTTGGTAGTCCAGGCTGGTCTCGAACTCACAGAGATCCTCCTGCCTCTGCCTCCCGAGTGCTGGGATTAAAGGCGTGCGCCACCAACGCCCGGCCGGATCTGTGATTTTTAAGGCCAGCCTGGTCTGCAGAGAAACCCAGTCTGGAAACACCAAAAACAAAGAAACAAAAATGATTCAGGTAGCATTAATCTCTCAAAAACGTAAGAGGTTAATTAAAATTCAAAAGTTTGAACTTCCGTAATAAAACCTGTTATCATGGGAATGAGTATATTGGCAGGGAAAGCAGTTAACTATAGTGTGCATGGCACAGTGCCCATTTAGTTAGAGAAAACGCACACAGAAGCCTAACACGGTCCCTCCTGTACTGTATCTGCGTCCTCCGCCTCCTTGTCTGTTTGCTTCTTAGCCGTTCAGGACTCGGAGTAAATGTTGTGTCGCTGCAGAGACGTTTCTGGGCCCTTTAGTCACATCAGTCAGCATCTGCTTCCCTCCTAGTGGATGCTTGGAAGCTTAGTGTCACAGGGGAACGTTTTCCCTCGTGTGCTGGGGATGAGCCCAGGGCTCAGCAGTCCACCAACAACTCCACCAATTCTCCCTCTCATGCTGTATGTCCCATTTGTTCTTAAGATGGGGTTTCTCTTTAACACCCCTGATAGTCCTGGGACTGTACGAGGCTGGAAGATGTCAGTTTTTTTGTTTTTTCTATGTAGCTTTGGAGCCTCTCCTGGCTCAAGCTCTGTAGAGCAGGTTGGCCTCGAACTCAGATCCACCTGTCTCTGCTTCTCCAGTTCTGGGATTAAAGATGTGTGCCACCAGTGCCTGGCAGATTTAAGATTGTTAAAAGAATTGAGAAATGTAAACTAAGGTATTTAAAAGTAGCCGTTGGTAGGGCTGGAGAGAAAGGGCAGTGGTTAAAAAAGAGCTTGCTGCCATTCCAGAGAACTAGAGTTCAGTTCCCAACTACTGCAATTTTAGCTTTGGGGATCTGATGCCCTCTTCTGGCCTCAGTAGGCGCCTACATGCACACAAATAATAAAATATTAAAAACATGCCTTTAATTCCAGCACTTGGGAGGCAGAGGCAGGTGGATCTCTGTGAGTTTGAGGCCAGCCTGGTCTACAGAGGTAGTTTTAGGACAGCTAGGGCCACACAAAGAAATCCTGTCTTGGAAAAATAAACATAAAAAGATGACTATAAATGATGGCGTCTGTCTATAGTTCCAAGTGGGGGCAGGAGGATTGCCACGAGTTTGAGATCAGCCTGGGCCAAAGAGTGAGAACCTGTCTTTAAAAGGAAATACAAATATTAAGCAGAATACAGGCCTGTTGTGCAACGGTTGAGTAGCAATTATTGGTGTAGGGGTCTGAATTGATGAACCATTCTGAGAGGCTTCACCTGTTCCTCTCAGAATCAGAGGCCACATGCTGGCTCTCCCTTAGGCTTCAAAGGCCTTGACTTCTCCCCACATTCTTGTTCTAGCTTTGATGCCCCCCATGCTGGTGTCAGGGTGTGTCTGATGTCCCCATGCTGGTGTCAGGGTGTGTCTGATGTCCCCATGCTGGTGTCAGGGTGTGTCTGATGCCCCCATGCTGGTGTCAGGGTGTGTCTGATGCCCCCATGCTGGTGTCAGGGTGTGTCTGATGCCCCCATGCTGGTGTCAGGGTGTGTCTGATGCCCCCATGCTGGTGTCAGGGTGTGTGTGTTAACTTGGTTCTTCCCTCTGCCCTTTGCAGCATCTGTGGAACCCTCCACTCTGTGGACCAGGTGAGACGCAGTAAAGGTTCAGTCTGTTCTGAGGAAGGAAGGGGGAGTCGGGTGGCGTCTTGTATCTTCTCTGGAGTTAATGGTGCTGTCCCTCTTTCTCAGTACCTCAATATCAAACTCACTGACATCAGCGTCACAGACCCTGAGAAGTACCCTCACATGGTGAGTTGGGGCTGGCCAGAAACAGGAGCCCTTTAAGGCCAAGGCCCCCTGGGTGGCCAGAGGCTTCCTAATGGAGGGGCTTTCACTCCTATGTGCCTCCAGTTGTCGGTCAAGAACTGCTTCATCAGGGGCTCGGTGGTCCGCTACGTGCAGCTGCCGGCAGACGAGGTGGACACGCAGCTGCTGCAGGACGCCGCCAGGAAGGAAGCCCTTCAGCAGAAGCAGTGACACCCCCCCCACCCTGCCCAGTGCTTCAGTGTTTCGTTCTGTTAGTGATTTTTTCTGTTTAATTGAATGGATGAAAGGGAACAGGAGCGGCTGTCCTCTGTTGGGAAGGGAGGGAAGGAAAGCTGGGAACCGTGAGACCTCCTGGTCCCCGCCTCTCTCCCTTCCCTGGAGATAGATGGGCGAGAGCTTCCTAGACCTATCCAGGGCAACTTGTGATACACTGGGGGGAATGAGGAGAATCTGTCCCGCATCGGGAATAAAATTTATGATGCAAACTGAGTTCTGGCTTTGTGGTCTACGTTGTGGGCTGGGAGGTGGGGAGGGTGTTTGATCTACACTCCCTGCTCTTCGTGCCTCCCCCTCCCCAGCCAGGAACCCAGTCCCATTTACCAGCGTTGGGTACTTCTGCGCTAAGGCTGTAACAGCTTGGCCAGGAGGACACTCATCGGGTGAAAGGCGCCAGCCGCCAACCGTGACCTGAGTTGATGCCTGGGACCCACTTGGTGGAAATGTCTTTTCCACATGCGCTCAAGTGCACACAGTAAAAATGTAATAGAAAATAAGGCGCTCAAGTGCACACAGTAAAAATGTAATAGAAAATAAGGCGGTGGCCGCCCAAGCCCTGCGAACTTGTTCTAGCCATTTGCTTCAGCGCACCAACTGGAGTGCCTCTGCCTTCCCTTTCACACGCGGAAGAACTCTTCCTGTCCCTCTTCTCCAGTGCTGGAGTTAGACCCAGCACCGCCCGCGAGCCCGGGAGCACCGGCTACCAAATACTAGCCCGTGACCTGCCCGGTTCCCTCCGCACAGAGCGTAAGTGCAGGCAGGCGACGCAGCCCGGACGATGCACTGCTGAGCTTTATCCCAGCGGCCCCAGGCTGCAGAGTCCTGCAGGAGGCGGTGGCGGCCATCACCCTGACCCGAGGACCCCGGGGTGGCCACGGCGGCGCCTGACCCGAGGACCCCGGGGTGGCCACGGCGGCGCCTGACCCGAGGACCCCGGGGTGGCCCGCGGCGGCGCCTGACCGAGGAACGCGCGGTGCCCTCCGCGGCTGCGCCTGGCCCAGGACCGGCTCGTGCCCGCCGCGGCGGCGCTCGCCCCTGCAGCCGTCCCGCCTCGGAAGGCCGCACACGGGCCCGGACGGAGGCCCGGCCATCGGGACGGCGCACGCGCAGGCGAGGACCCGGGCCCGGAAACGCGCGCTGTCACAAAGGGGACACGTGGGTGCCCGCCTGCCCGGCCGCGCCGCCGCCCCACAGCGGGAGAGCCGCCTCCGCCACCCGCCGCCTCCACCCTGGCCGCCCCGCGGGGCCGCGGCCCTGGCCGGCTGACGAACATTGCCGGCCCCGCGTGACCGCCCCCTGCCGGACGCACGGCGGCGCCACCCCGCCTCCCAGCCCCGGGCGGACGGGCGGGCGAGCGATCGGCCCCGCCTCCCAGCCCCGGGCGCCGCTCGCGGCCGCCCCGCCAAGCCTGAGCCCCGGACCGGCGCCTGCGTGCCGCGCAGCACGTGGTTAGCCGGGTCCCCGCCGCCGCCGTCGCCGCCGGCCTCTGCTCGGGACTCTGCGCGGCCTCCGGACCCCGGCACGGCCATGTCCATCCTCTACGTGTCCCCGCACCCCGACGCCTTCCCCAGCCTCCGAGCCCTCATCGCCGCCCGCTACGGGGAAGCCGGTGACGGCCCCGGGTGGGGGGGACCCCACCCCCGCATCTGCCTGCAGCCTCCCCCGAGCAGCCGGACCCCGTTCCCCCCGCCTCGCCTGCCCGCCCTGGAGCAGGGGCCCGGCGGCCTGTGGGTGTGGGGGGCCCCGGCTGTCGCCCAGCTGCTGTGGCCCGCGGGCCTGGGGGGACCCGGGGGCAGCAGGGCGGCTGTGCTCGTCCAACAGTGGGTCAGCTATGCCGACACGGAGCTCATACCAGCTGCCTGCGGGGCCACGCTGCCCGCCCTGGGACTTCGAAGTCCTGGTCAGGATCCCCAGGTGAGGGGGCAAGAAGGAGGGAGGGAGGAATTCTGAGAAAGCAAGGTTTGCAGAGGATCCCGAAGACACGGAAGTCGGTTGTCGGGGGGTGGAAATAGTGTTCGGATCCCTGTTCGCCACCGGTGTGGTAACTTTGGGAACACTTTGAATTCTTTAGTCCTGGTGCGTGACTGAGAATGCGAGGTGACGTAATCTCCTCCTCAGGGGTGCAATAGGTAGGGTGAGCCCTCGCCGAACGCCCTGGAGCTCCCTGGTGTGCCAGGCGGTTTAAAGTTTCTGAGGGTCTTTGGGTTCCTGTTGCCGTCAGGAAGCGACACGACCCAAAGCACCTTGGGGAGGAAAGGGTTTGTGTCCGTGTACGCTCAGGCTGTGCACTCCGTCACGGAGGGAAGGCAGGCCAGGAACTGGAGGTAGGGACTGAAGCCGAGGCCATGAGCACTATTTACTGGCGTTGTCCACAAAGCTTGTTTCGCCTGCTTCCTTATACCATCCAGGACGACTTTTCCTAGTGTGTGTCTCCCCGGTAATCGTTAGTTAAGAAAATGCCCCTACAGACTTGCCTACGGGCCAGTCACTGGGGTATTTTTTTTCCTCAGCTGAGGTCCCCTCTTCCCAGATGACAGTAGGCTGTCTGAGGCTGACAGACACTCGGCAGTATACTGAGGGAAAGTTTGAGGAGTCTGGCAGGGGTGAGCGACGCAAACAGCTGTTGTTTTGAGATGTGGAGAGACCGAGGAAGAAATGATAGTCTCTGGGAGGAGATAAGGGGGAACCATGCAAGAGGAGGAGGGAAGGGAGAGGACAGAGACCACCAGATTGCTTCTGTGAGCCCTTCCAGGGCAGACTCCTCGTGCCTTAGCTGGAAGCTGCAGTCCTGCACGGTAGGGCGTGCGTGGGGGATGCTCAGGGTTACTTCAGTGAATGAATGAATGAATGAGTGAATGAATGAATGGCACAGGCCCTGGCATGCGTCTTCACGTACTGATGGGTCAGCAGGAAGCCCCTTTCTTCCTGCAGGGGAGTGCCTTCCACGTCTACTCATTCACTGTTTTCTCAGTAGTCTGTGTTGCTTCATAATATCCTGTAACTGCAGCGCCTGATAGGTTTAATTGCAGACACACAGACACCCACACAGACAGACACAGACAGACACACACACAGACACACGCACAGACAGACACACAGACACACACACAGACACACACACACACACGCTTGTGTGTATTCGGTTTCTATTTTATGCGTGTGGGTGTTTTGTCTGCATGTATGTATATACACATGCGTGCCTTAGTGCCCAGGGAGGCCAGGGGTGTGGCCAGGTCAGCTGTGAGCCGCCACATGGGTGACAGGAGCCACGCTTGGGGCCTCTGTAAGAGCAGCAGTGTTCTTGACTACTGATCCCTGTCACCCATCTCTCCAGTCCTGTAATATATACATATTATATATGATACAGTATACACACACATATACTGGGTAGAGATTAAACCTAGGGCCTCCTACGTGCTTAACACTCCCCCTCTGACCTGCACTCCCAACCAGACATGCTTTTGGTGTTTCTTTGAGACAGGGACTTTGTAGGCTTAATTGGTGTGGAGCTGGTTGTGTAGACTAGGCTTGCTTTAAAAACTCAGGGATCAAAGGCCAGCAACACCACACCTAACAGCTGTACTTTTACACTGAGCGTCTGAATGAGGAAGGAGCTAGCCCCGGAGCTGGTGGTCCTGGGAATAGGAAGACCAAATAGGATAAACAGTGGCTCTCAGCCTGTGGGTCACGACCCCTTGAGGGTCAAACAGCCTCTCACAGAGGTCGCCCAAGACCCTTGGAAGGCACGGATATTTACATTACAATATAACAATAGAAAAATTACAGTTATGAAGTAGCAGTGAAATAATTCTCTGGTTGGGTCGCTAGTGTAGAAGCATGTAACCCTTGACATGTCCCGTTCTTTCCTGTCAGGCTGCCCTTGGGGCCCTGGGCAAGGCCTTGAGCCCCCTGGAGGACTGGCTTCGGCTACACACCTACCTGGCTGGGGACGCTCCCACGCTGGCGGACGTAGCCGCTGTGACAGCCTTACTGCTGCCCTTCCGATACGTGAGTCCCTGGGGCTTGGGGAGGACAGGAGCCCGTCACTGCGCGGTGACTAAGATGGCTGGTTTCATTGTTGCCTTCTCAGGTCCTGGACCCTGCTGTCCGTCGGATCTGGGGTAATGTGACTCGCTGGTTTAACACTTGCGTCCGGCAACCGGAATTCCGGGCTGTGGTAGGAGAAGTGGTCCTGTACTCGGGGACAAGGTCCGTTACTCAACAGCCAGGTAAGAAGGATGCGGTGGCAGAGGGACAGGTGGCCCCTCCGGGACCTTCCTGTATCATTCATGGCTTCTTTTATCTTAGAACTGCCTGGGCCACCAGGGTGGGGAGCCTGTGGGAGGGGAGGTGGGAGATAACCAGGCTGAGCCTCAGGGCACTAGAAACAGCCCTTTTTAGATCTAGAACTGTTCGTAGAGGGTCCCCTCGGGTCTGAATTTCTCTGCCTCACTCCAGGCCCCGAGGCCACTGCGCCCCCCAAAACAGCTGCCCAGCTTAAGAAGGAAGCCAAGAAACGGGAGAAGCTAGAGAAATTCCAGCAGAAGCAGAGGACCCAGCTGCAGCAGCCCCCGCCTGGGGAGGTAGGAATGCAAAGGCCGGGTGGGGAGGGGCGGAAGCCTTGCTGATCAGCTGATGTTTCCCTCTGTTCTTCCTTCCGAACAGAAGAAACCCAAACCAGAGAAGAAGGAGAAACGGGACCCTGGGGTCATTACCTATGACCTCCCTACCCAGCCCGGGGAAAAGAAAGGTACTGGCTACGGAAGGGGCCCCGCCTCTGGCTGCTGCTTTCCGCAGCACAGCCTCCCGCCTGGCCTGGCCTGTCCCTTCCGTCCTGGCTTGAGCCTGCCCAGCTTCAGTAAGCCGTCTTCTCCTTCCTCCCAGATGTGAGTGGCACCATGCCCGACTCATACAGCCCTCAGTACGTGGAGGCTGCCTGGTACTCTTGGTGGGAGCGGCAGGGTTTCTTCAAGCCAGAGTATGGGGTGAGTGGTTGCTGCTGCCCAGGCCCGGAGCGGGTGGAGGGGGAGAAGGGCAGGACGCTAGGGCCTGGGGGGGGGCCGCGTGCGGATGCAGTGTGCCTTAGCAGTAGTCCTCCCTTCTCTGCCACAGCGTCCTAGCGTGTCAGCACCAAATCCCCGAGGCGTCTTCATGATGTGCATCCCACCCCCCAACGTGACAGGCTCCCTGCACCTGGGCCACGCGCTCACCAA